AAAAATTTAAAATGCTGTGACTTTGCTACCCTATTTTTATATTACTTGTCTTTTTCATCAATGTGCAATTAATGAAATTTTCATTTGGATGATAAAGAAAAGTAATATGAAAATAGGGTAGAATAGTTGCAGCATTTTAGATTTGTCATTTCCTGTTTAGTGAAAACATCACAATTTTTATTACCTTGTTTTATAAGCTTTAAAAATGAGGAATAATACAGTGGAACCTCAGTATACGACCTTAATCTGTTCCTGATGTTTGGACTTATACCAAATTGGACGTATACCAAACCAACCTTTTCTATAAGAAGTGATGTAAAAATGATTAATCCGTTCTCATGTAAAAAAAATGACTTGCTTTAAACACCTCGCTTTCCTGGCTAGTTCCTGCTTGATTTTTCGTGAGATCAGCATGTATCTTTTTAGCTTTCTTGCAAATAATTGCTTCTGATACGCTGTCTCCAGCACATTGTTTTTCAGTTATCCAAAGCAAAAGCAATTTCTCAACATGATCTAATGTCTTCGATCTCTGTTTAGAAATTGATTTAACCCCTTTCGCAACGTTAGCAGATGTAATAATGTCTTTATTTTTCACGATTGTCGATATCGTCGTTCTTGGAATACGGTATGCAACAGTTAAAATCTCGAACACGCATGCCACCTTCATATTTCTCAACAATCTCTTTTATCAGTTCCATTGTGATTCTAGTCATTTTTTTAGTTTTCTTTTGCTATTCATTTGCTTTTTTGCAATTCATGATTAAAAAAAATAATAAAATTTTACTTACAAATTAAAATCAGAAGAAATTTAACAAAGTTATAAACTGTTGCACCATGAACATCTAGTCTGGTCGAGTACACCAATAGTGCTACTTGTTCATAGATGGCACGTATAATTGAATTAAGTCGTATACTGAGCAAAATTTGTTTTGTCCAAACAAGACATATTCCGAATTGGACGTATTCTAAAGCAGACGTATACCAAGGTACCACTGTAATAGTAATAATAATGCTAATGTTACAAATAAAAAGAACCAAACTAAAATTCCGCATGTTTGAACCTACATTGTCTAGGTCCAGTACCTAGCATCTTAGCCACTTTGTTAGCCATAAGACATGAACTTTCAAAGACTTATAAGCTAAACTCTCAATTTTCAGAGACCCAATGTTTGAAAGCACTTGAGAAGTGGGTCCTATTATTTGGACAAGGAGATGTTTGTGTTTAAGACTATGTGCTTACCAAGTTTCATTTGAATTGGAGACCCAAAGTTTGCCCTATCCTTATAGGCAACAGCTTTTGCTCTCCAAACTCCAAACTGATAAGGCTACTAGCACCTGCATTAATTAGTAAGTAAAACTGGTAGAGATAAATAATTTGAAGTGATAAAAAAAAAACAAAACTAGCAAATGGTTGGTGATATTTTTAAATTTTCTAGAGAAACCCCTGATTATGTAATATTAACAATCCTTTCTTGTAACTGATGTCAAATTCTTAATTATTAACTTGCATGTTAATAATTCCAAAATATTCTGAAATTTTTGTTGATATTTATACTTTTCTTTGTTAAAATGTTGACTGATAGATTATTTTTATTAATCTGTATTGTAAAAAAAAGTATTCTGACTCAACATTTAATTATTAATAGTAGCATTAATGTATCCTGATATANTTTTAATAAAAATATTCAAATCATATTGTTTTCATTAAAATTGTTTGATTTTTTTATAGCTAGATGACATTATAAAAATAGCTATGCCCTTATAATTTAAGTAATTTGCATAGCTAGATTGTTCATAAATCCACTAAACCTAGCAAAAAATTAGCTAAATTGGCAACAAAAGCTAACATGACTAGCTGATCGGCATGGGCATGTGATTATAGGACTGCCAGTGTTAGGAATGGTGACAAATACAAAAAATACTTACCAATGCGGAAAAAAAAGGTCATCAAAATGTGACAAATATCAGATATTTCGAATGTAGAGGTTTCACTGTATTACAAATTTTAATAAACTTTAAACTATAATAAAATTGTTTTCAAATTATTAAAATTCTTACCTTCAAAACAATTTCTTATTTTGAAGGTAAGAGTAAAATAAAACTTGAAATTAAATCAAACTAAAATTGTTTTTTGCATCTGTCTACAAGTATGTTAACAATCATAGAATTATCATAATAAGTTTGTCAAAAGCTCTATGAATTGTAATATAGAAACAGATATTAAGAATATATTTTTTATATTACATAATCATATCAATCATAGCACATTACATGTAATACTTAATGTATTCATAAAAATTTAATTGAAAAAGTATTTCAGTTTTAATTATATTAATTCATTATTTGAGATAATTCAGCTAGCTATGGAACTGTTTCCCGTCCACTGAGCAGAAAAGTAGGCGTTCAACAGGAAATAAGCAGAATTCATTTATATATTAAGCAACTAAATGCTGCTAATGTTACAGTAAAGAAAGAACTTGCAGAAATAAAAGCTAAAGTAAGTAGTAATATATATTATGTCATTTCTGCTGAAACATTTTTAAGTTATTTTATATAAATTAAATAATGAAATATGCATAATTAGTTACTAAAACTTGTACTTTTAAGTTATATACAGTGGTACCTCAGGATACAAAATTAATCCGTTCTGAAACTGAGATCGTATCATGAAAATGTTGTAAGGTAATCATTTTTTCCCATACAATTATATGTAAAACCAAATAATTCATTCCAACATGAAAAACACACTCAAATTAAAGCTAAGTAGTACATTAAAAAAAATAACTATAGTAAGGAAAATACTGAAAAATGTGTTTCGTAGTAGTAAATGTATAAATAAACATAATAGAATAATAATTAATAAAAAAAAATGTAGTTTTCTTTGTACTTTACCTTTGAGGATAGACGACAGTGGAGGTGTAAACTGGTGGCGGAAGAGAGGGAGAAGGGAAATGATACTAAAACTTAACTTACATAACATAATGTAATAACTTAAAAATAACTTAGAAAGGATAAAAAAATTAGTGTTGTTTTATATATATATATATTTTAAAAATTTTTATTCACTGCTTTTTGCTTTCTTTCCTTCACTTCCACCAGCACTTTCACTGGATAGAGGTCTCTTGGTAAAATATCTATCCAAAGAGATTTGGCTTTGCCTACTTTTTAAAATGTTTCTAAAATGACTTAGGCAGATGTCATTACTCCGAGCAGCAATACGGCCAGTGTGAACCTTTTCGGGTTGTTTCTTTTTAATAAAATCAGTCACTTTCTGATAATACCTCAAGATTTTTTTTAATTGAGCGAGACGAAGCAAATATGCGGACTGAGACCAATGAACAGAAGTGAATAAAAAATGGCGCTGCAAAATAATGTAGCGTTGTATGGTGAGTTTTTGTTCGTATCATGGAGCAAAAATATGTCGAATTTCACGTTGTATCCTGAAAATTTCGTATGCCAGGGCGTTCGTATCCTGAGGTACCACTGTATTAATATTTGAAGCAGAGCGCTAGCGAATCTTCTATGAGGCTTACAGAATTGTGTTTGTTCTCAAAATCCGTTTGATAGATTTTGATTAAACTTTGCTATTTTGCATTAATTGCAATGCAGAATCCAAAAATGCAATAAAAAATGGGTGTCCATGACTTCATTTTTGAGATGTAAGGTCGTTTCATGAGTGTGCACAACAAAACGATATCACACAAATCACACATTTTAGTCAGGCAATGTTTCACAATTGCTAGCACATCTTGTATGAGAGTTTAGAATCAAGTTCATTCTCAAAATTTAATGAATTTATTTTGATGAAACTTTGCTATTTTCCATTAATTGAGATGAGGAATTCAGAAATGTAATGTAGGTCCATTTAAATTAAAAAATTCAGCAACAAATTGCTTAACTTTCCTGACAACATTTAAAATTTTGGTCACTCTATCTTATACGATATTTTATTTTAAAAAACTGTTTACATTTTTAATTATTATAAAATGGCAAATAAATTTTATAAAAAAAATTGTAAATGCTAATAATGAATAAATCGTCATTAAGTCTGACACTACTTGAGATATGACACGCCCACTCTTTATCACTCCACCCTGTTGACCTTAAACCACCAAAATTTAATACCATCAATCTGCTGACTTAAAATTCAAATTTATAGCTAGACATTTTAATAAANACATTTTCTGCATGTGTCATTTGTGAGTGTTGTATCTTTGAGTATGTGTTTTCTGTAGTTTTTAGTATTTATGACCTGATCCTGTATGGCAATCATGAACCTTCATCTCTCCAAAGAGGCATCCCTGAGCTAACCAGCTGTTTGGCACAGTTTTGTAAACAAAATTCTAGGCCAGGTTGTAGGGATGTCTGCCATGGAGTATCTTTCGAGCCCACAATTGCTTAATGGTGTCTATGCTGTTTATATGTTGTGTCATGTCCATATGTTGTGAGTGTAAGTTTAATGGTGTGTTATTTGAGTCTGCTAGAGTTACTGCTTTATATAACTGTGATGTTTCTTGTTTCTTGTAGAAAAACTCTTGCAGTGACTGTATTTGTTTGTAGTGAAGGTTTACTTTGTCAATCGGGTCATGTTTGCCATCTTTACGTGGAAGGGTTAATCTTTCTATGGTGGATTTAGGATGATGATGTTTATGCTTAGTAAGTGTTCTTGGTTTCCTTCAGAGTTGCTCAAGATCTGTGTGAGTCCAATGTATAACTCTAAAAGAATAAGTGAGTACTGGGACAACATATGTGTTTATTGCTTTAACTGTATTGTTATTATTGTTATTATTTTTAAATAACTGGAAAGACCAAAAATCCAAATAATAATTTAAGGAAAATTTAATCAACAAATTTGTTTTAAGAAATGTTTTAATTTGTAAATAAAAAATTTACACAATAAAATATCTATAGTTGTGTTATTTTGGAAGAAACATTACATTAATTATTAATATTAGGAGGAGGATAATATTTTTAATAAAATTTATTTAATAAATTTTCAGGTTTGTAAGAAATTTGACAGATGTTGCCAAAGGTTACTGAATCATGGTTTTCTTAAGGTCGATAGATATCATGCACAGTGTCTGCGAAATGTTAAAGCTCAACTACCAAGAAGAGAGTCTGAACGTAGGAATCATCCTCTTGCACGTCACTGTGATATTTTAACAGCCATTGAAACAAGATTATCGTTGCTGGGAATGACTTTTATGAAATACGTTGATATGAATTTGTGTTGTTTTATTCCTGGAAAGGTTAGTAAAAAATGTTGCTAGGTTCATTATTAACTTTTTGTTTAATTATACATTTATTCTAAATGAATTTATTAGATAGAAAAAATTGTATATGTAAAATTTATTTTTAATATATTTATAATCTGTTACATCACTTTGACATATGCAAAACAAAGACAAAATAAGGCAAATTGTTTAAATAAAGTTTGTTTTAAATTCATAGAAAATAGCAATTTTGAAAGCAATATTCAAAATTTGAAATTGCTATTTTCTATGAATTTTTAGCTTTAAAGCTGCTTAGTAAAATATAAAAAATCATGTTGTTTGTATTTGCATACTGTATTTTGTTGAGATTATTTTCTAGATGTAAATAATAAATTCATTTGTTTTTAATATATTTGAAATAGAAAGTGAACTTTAAATGAGATTAGTAAATGTAAAATCTAATAATTTAAATACATCTTCTTATGCTTAAAGCTAAATTTAGACTTGTTTCAAATGATGAAAGTAAATATCTACTAGAATTTTTTGTCTTTTATAATGTCTTATAATCCTAATTTATTAAATTACTATGATTATTATAATATTTGTTGGATTCTTTATAAGTAATATTATAAGATAGTTTGATTTATCTATGTATATTTTTTTGGTTATCTATAAACCACTTACTAATATTTTACATGATGATATGGTTATGTCTCTTCACTTACAATAGTCTTCTTCTCAACTTACTGGAGTGAGCAAATAATCACTTTTCACTTACTAATATCTAATTATAAAATATCATAACATGCGAACTATAATGAAATTCAAATTTATCATTAGTGATAGTTCATATTTTATTTTTTAAACATCAGTTAAAAATCAAGATTGTTCTAATAATATAAAATTTGTTAATGTGTAATTTGCATCAATTTTCATAGTGTTTTTTAAGAATAATAATAAATGAAGATTTTATAATTAAATTTGTGAGGTAATAGTTGAAGTTATGATTGATATGTTCTTGTTAAAATACAAAAAATATGCCTGAAAATGTAAATAACTTCTGGCAATGATGCCAATGCCATAGTTGGTAAAAATTAAAAGTTGGCTGATATATCAATAGTTGGTAAAAATTAAAAGTTGGCTGATGGTATTCACTTTAAATTTCAAAAATATGTATTATTGAAGATACAAAATTGTCATCATTTTCTCTTCTGTTGTTTACAGTTACCAGTAGCAATTTGAAAACAATTTTCACTTTTAGTTTTAATTAACTATTGTTGTGAATTATGTCATTGGCATTGTCACTAGAGGATATTTTACCATTTTACATTTTTTATGGAGTCATAGCCTCAAATAAAAGGTTTTCTCCATAAGTGAAAATTGTTTTCAGATTGTTGCTGGTGATTGTAAATGATAGAAGAGGAAGATGAAGACAATTTTGTTTCTTCACGATACATACACTCATTGCCATAAAAATTAACACACCAAAAAATGAGTTGTATTGCTGCATACAGATAAGTCTCAAGCATATGCAGAAAATGATTAAAGTAATAGTGTAATGGCTCATTGCATAATGCCAGCAGAGGGCATTAAAGTGTGACCCCCTTGGCCTATAAAAAAGTGTGCAAAGGCATCTTGTGTGTTAGTTTACCTGTTGCAGAGGGATGCTGTATCACTAAAGATGACTTTACGTCACAATTGAAGATCATATGAACATCTAAAAAGGGTTTGAGAGGGAAAGGATCATTGGGATGAGAGAAGCCAGATTGTCATGTTGCTGAATAACCTGCTAGGCCATTCTGAAACACTGTGAGGAGGTGTTGGAACCAGTGAACATTACACTTGGCACCCAGGCTTATGACACTCTTGACAGACCACTAGCCAAGAGGACTGCATCATCATCCAACAAGCATGCACACAGCCGATTGTATTGTCTGCCATCCAGACACAGGTGGTGCCATCATTACAGGCTTGTGTCTGTTTGTACTGTTTACAGAAGCCTGGATGAGGAAAATTTAGGATTGCTCCCAACAGGATTGGACTTCAATGGAATGGAACCGGCTCATCTACAGTGATGAATTCAGATTCAGTTTAGGCACCGACAACAGCCATGTTGATGTCTGGAGGCGCTGTGGTGAACACCTCAATCCCGCCTGTGCTTTGGAATGGCACACTGCTCCCATAGCTGGTGTGATGGTCTGAGATGCCAACACATACGATAGCCAGTCACCTCTAGTAGTAATCCAAGAGACCGTGACAGCCCAGCAGTATGTTAGTGAGATCCTATAGTTATCCTGCCTCTCATGACGGCTCCCAAGAGACATTTATTTTCCAACAGGACAGTGCTCGACCATACATAGCAAGGGTGCTTTAGGATTGCCTCTGCCACATTGCTGCACTTTCCTCACCTGCCCGGTCTCCCGATTTGTCACTGGTTAAATATCTGGGATCACCTGAGACACCATGTTGGACAGCCTAGGAGTTTGGCTGAACCTAGAGGACTGCTTGCAGTAACTGTATCACATTGTGTATTCATGCTAGAGGTTGCCCAACAGATTACTAGAACCTTTTTTCATTTGTAGTTTTTCCTGCAATAAATGATCCTTTTGCTTTCATTTTGTAATCACTTACTTATATCACTGTTATGTTCTCACATATACAATTTTGTTCGATTCTGACAACAACTCCTTGATGCACTAAATTTTATGGCAGTGAGTGTATTTTATTTTTGTATTTTAATGTAAATACTATCAGGCAACTTTTAATTTTAATCAACTACTTTTTGTTATTGAATGATTGTTGAAGCTTTACAAAATGCTCTGAATTTAGTAAATATTAATAATCTATTGGTAATGCTATTAACTATTTGTTCAAATTTTGTTTATAAATACCAATTAAGAGTAGATGGAATCTATACATTAACTCTTACTGTTTGGATTAACGTAGGAAAGTATTGAGATAAAACTGCAGTTTGTTAAACTTATTATTGATTACATTTTGTATATTTTGTATGAAAATCAAAATAAATATAATTAAAGATTGAACTTACAATAAAAATTCCTTTATCTTAGGTTATTGATGAAATTTATCGTGTTTTGAGATATATCCAAAATACACCAACACCACCTCGTGCGCATGAAATACTTCAAGAGTTAAGAGATATTTCTTCGATGGCAATGGAATATTTTGATGAAAAAATTGCTCCTGCTTTAAAACAAAAAATTGGAAATACTAGTCCAACAATATCTGTTACAGCACATGGGGCTTACACAATTCCAGGTATATTATTTTATATTAATTTATTGATAATAAATTCAGTATAGTGGATCCTTGCATAATGTTATTAATTAGTGCAAAATCAAGTTCGTTCATTACATAAAAATAACATTGTGAGATATATTTTATGTGTAAATTGCCTAATTGATACAAAAAAGTTCAGATACTATTAAAACTTTTTAAAATGTCACCATAATCTTATTGTTTTATAAATTCAGATTGAAAAAATAATAAAAACACAAGATATTCCTGAATAAAGAGTGGTGACAGAGATGCCCAGTGTCTGTCTATGCACCTAGTTGTGACAGAAAAAAACAAAGTAATAAAAACAATTAAATAATGATACTAAATAATAATGATATGAAATTATAAATATGCTAATCAAAATATAAAAAAAATCTTAGAAAAATAAACCATAACTGCAAATTTTTATTTCTTAATGAAGTTCAAATGACTGCTATTAGAGTATGTTGACTCCTTATAAAATCAGGAGAAACACAAATGCTATAAAGATTATAGGAGTCACACTTTTTAATTTGGTTAAATGATATTTCAGACTTTTCTATCTTGTCATCACATCCAAAAAAGTTTGAATTTCTGATTCAAACTTTTTTGAGCATAGTGAGAAGACAGAGCAATCTGGAAAATCATTTAACCAAATTAAAAAGTGTGATTCCTATAATTTTTATAACATTGTGAACATCTGTGAGTTTCTGTTGACATTGTATAAAGCAATTTTAAAGTGTTAAGGTTTCAAATGACCCTAAATTTTAGGATGAATATTTCTAAATTAATAACATTGTGTAAGAAAAATTCAGCTATGCACACTTGTACTGTGTCAGTCATGTAAGGAATCTGGTTCTTAAATTTTTAAAATGTAAATTAATATTTATTTATGGAAGAATAATGCTACATATATGAAAATAACATAATGTGAGCATTTGATTATGCAGGAGTCCACGGTATTTTATTGTGTAACAATTATTTATATGAAATAATTGCATTTTATATAGTATTTAATATTATCCAAATTTTTAATCATACTTTTGTAAGTATTAGTGATGATACTAGGCAATGTGAGTTACATTTTGTTTAAACATATGCAACTTTATACAGTAGAGTCTCGAAAACATGGCCTAATGTGGACCGAAGGGTGGCCGAGTTTGTGAAAATGCCAGGTTATTGGGAATGGGGTTAAAAAAAATAAGTATGAGTGTTTCCTCAGAAAATACTGTACTGTACTTGTATGTATTGTTTACTTGAGAATACAGCAGAGAATAAACTGCCCAAATACCCTTAAACAAAGGAAAAGTACGTCCTTTATGAAGGCATAGAGCCTTTACTACATGAAAATGAAAATTAATGAATACACTGTGTACAGTAATTTACCTGATAAGACAGACCTCAGAAAAATACTTTA